TCTAGGCTAGTAAACTCAAAAAAAATAAAAATAAAAAAAATAAAAATAAAAAAATAAAAAAAATAAAAGGAGAAGGGATAGAGCAAGTCAGGCCCAATTTGGCTATACCCTAACCGTCGGTCACATTTTGCACCAGTATTTTAAAAAACGTCAGGTCAACACAAAATCGCTCGATTCAATTAAAAAATCAGTCACACCCCATTCTAGTTTTGCATATATATAAAAAAAGTATCAAATCTAGAAGGGAACGACTCTTCCACACAATAAAATGATGATTCTTTAAAGTAAAATGGTGATACGGACCAACGATTTACCGATATAGACTAATTTTTGGCTAGTTCATGATTTTTTTGTGTTTTTTTGCTAATTTAGTGTTTTTTTCAAATAGTAAAATGACAATATACACGGTTGATTCACCAAACCAAACCGATTTTTAGGGGGCCTGATCGGAGTCACATTCCATTTTTTAAATCACTGGCTCACGCTAATTCCGGATGGGATCACTATTCCGTACAAATAACTTCCTAAAACCTGTTTGGTACTTGCCAATTCCATATCAGATTCGGGATGGAAATGACTGGGTTGTGAAACAATGGAGCGACCTGGATGTCGGCCATTAACAGGTCTGGCTTTTTTTGCTCTAATAATTAGTCGAAATTTCGCTCCCGTCTCGGTTTCAATTTCAGTTTCGGAGAAATGATTACGGTACGACGAAGGTTTTAAGAAAGGAGGGTTCCATTGGTCCCTTCGAGAATGACTAAAGGCCGCAGCGCTGGCCACGGGAAACCCGAATCCCGAGGGGCATTTCTGTCATTGATGCCAGAGAGTGCGCCTTATGTTCCTAGTTTTCTATGCTACAAAGCCCGAAATTTAAATTGACCCATGAATTAAAATAAACCGAACAAAGGACGAAGCGTTGCGTTTTGACTGAAAGAGCGATTATCTTTCTACTAATTGGCTTTTTCGCCATTTTTAGGTGTAAAACTTAGGATTGCACTTTGAATTTTTCAGACGCCTTAAATGTTTTAAAATGAGGACCGGACTGCTTGCCTATTCTAATGATCTGGATTAGGATTTGAATATTCTGAATTGGAAATTAAGTTAAAAAAAAAAAAAACTAGGAGCATTTGAGGGGGAATGGATTTGGATCCCCTACTACATTTTATCTAAATAGGCGATTTATGATCTAGATCATTGGGTTTTAAAATATTATTTTTATTATCTTTTTATTCTAACTTCTAAATGTAATTGATTTTTTTTTAGAATTTTCCAAGTTAGAACTAAGAATGATCATTCTGGACAGAAATTTTCTTACTTGATTTTTTAAGTCTTTTCATTTGTCTGTGCAATGCAAATGACAATAATGTTCATCTCGAGACCCTTCGAGTTGGACCTAGAGGTTCAAAATCCAGTCCAGTTTTTGAAACTGTTTGAGGCACACTACCCAAGTCAAACTGAAATCTAATCCAGCTTTTGGATCTTTTTGAGGCACACTATCTAACTCAAACTCAAACCCTATTCAAGTTGGTTGTTTCCAAATTTTCATATACTCCTTTAAGCATACATAAATGAAGAGAATGGAATGGGCATGGCCATAGTATTGCCTCATGATGAGGTCACTGAGTCTATTTTTCTAAAGGTAGGACCTAAATCCCTACTAACTTATCACTTTTTGGAAGTGGCTAAAGTCGTAGGAGTCGCAATTCAGACTCTAATCACCTCAATGTGGTTTTCATTCCCACCATTAATATCACCCTATTAATGCCTTCAAAAAGCTAAACAGTTTGCCAATAGATGATTCAATCGAGGGACGGCTGGGATCTATGGATATCTACTCCCCTAAATCTAGACGACGGAATGATGGTTTAACAGTAAACTAGTTTCTAGAATTGCTTGTCGGCACCGGATATTTAAAAGGTAGCGTGCAAAGCCATTTAGAATAAGTTTAAGGGTATGTGCGTTGTTTCTCCTTTCTATTTGGCTCACAACTTATAGTGAAGAATGGAAAAATAAGTTGAGGTCTTTTGTATTCGACGATGATTCAGTGTGTTCTACGTCATCAGTCCGTTGCAAAAGCCGCCACAATCGCTGCAAATAACTGAAGTTAGCAGCTCTCCTACGTTCAAATCCGAAGACGCTCTCTCTCTATTCTTCACTTTTTATTTATGTTTTATATCTATTCAATGATACTATTTATTTTATTTTATTTATTTATATATATATATATTCATATTTTTTCAATGATACAATTTACCTTTGATACAAAATGGTTACAATTATTTATAAGTTATAACCATTCGACGTAAATTTTGATTGTTTGGGTGCACAACAAAATTGAGAAAATTTTATTTTGAAATTTGAGCTTGATCAGTGAAATAAATGCAGCCACCCAATTTTATATCTAATAAATAAGATTCATTGTGACTATTTCCAATGTAGAAATAGCCTTTTCTGATGGAGTTTTTAAGTATACTTTAATTCTACAACTTAAAATGTCAATCTTATATAAATATTTTCCCTTATCTTTTACTTTCCCCTCTTGTTTAAAGCATCTCTCATCTCTGTATTGTAATTGGAATTGGTTGGGATATAGATCGGTACAAGCATGGCCAATTTGGTCTAAAGTAGAAATCAAGTATGGTAAAAAACCGGGTACTTCCCAGTCAAAGTGGTTGGTTTCAACTATAATTCGATTAGCCAAAAAAAATCACGAATTTTTTTCTCATATATTTTATATTTTAAGTTGTTATTCATATATTTTCAGACGTTTTTAAAATTCATTTTCATATAATTGGACCGATCAATTATGATTGAACTAGATCCGACACTAATTTAGTTACCAGTCCAATCCTGATAACACTACCTATATTCATTCACATGGGCGTCACGCTCTCCGTACTAAATCATTGCTCTTGTTCTTTCTATTAGCACCTCGTTCACCTCGTGTAATATGCTAGCGTATTTTCCAGTTCTATAGATAATTATATTATAAATTTTGTAAAATGATTTAATGCTCTTGTGGAGCATACTATCCATTACTTCTATTGGGTAAAACTGGATCTCAAAATAGCCAATGGTGCTTTGGTTAGGCCCCCAGAGGTCAAGATACCTCTTTGCAAGATGTTTTGAGCTACAGATTTTTTTTTTGGGATGTAACCTCTTGAATCGGAGATCAACCTCAAGATACAAATGTGAAATGATGCACTATGTGCTTGATTGAACAAGGACAACTGCTTTTTTAAGTGCACGATCTGACTCTTGAGGAAAACATAATCTACTTCATTTTTATATATAATCATGTAGTGATTCTTATGCTGATCCCAATAATTTATAGGAAAAAAAATCTCCAAGTAGCTATCTTCCTGATGGAGTTAATGTACAAAATGCTCTTGCACAATCAAGCCACAAACACATAGGGGTGGCAACATGTCGGGTACGGGTCAGGACCTGCTAGATCTCGACTTGGACTCAAATAGTATTTAGGTCCAAAATTGGACTCGCACCTGGACTTGTCGGCTCCTGGGTCTGATAAGCCCCATTGCCACCTTATGGCTATAAGCTTTTTTGCCTTTTTTTTTCTACCATCATATACCCTATGATTATGAACTTCTTTTTTTTGCTAATAATATTGTAAATGTTATTAAATTTTTTTATTATGAACGTCTAAAGTGTGCCTAAAGACACATGAATGCCATCATATACCCGATGATTATAGGTGTAGATCGCGTTCAGCTGGACTCAGACCCAGACCCTAACCCAAATATTATTCGGGTTCAAAATTTGGTCACAAGTTTAGTCAGGCCCATTGCCACCCCTACAAACACATAATTTATATATAATTCATCATGACTATCCACCACTAACCCTTTCTCCAAGTTCTCCCTTGGATTTTCTCTCCTCGCCCTCTCAAATCCTTGAATTTCATCTCCTGGTCATTTTGCTCTAAATGATCAAATTAGAGTCCACGTCGAAAGTTTCACTAGAAGAGGTTGTTTTGATACCTAAATATCATCAAATTGATCATCTCTACATCAAGATGCATGGACATGAGAAAAAGATGGATTTCAAGTTTTGAAAATAATGCATCCTGTAATACTTTTTTTGAACGTCAATTTTTCAAGTTTTTATAGATCTGCTCGATTTACATTATGTTTTAAGCTTTAAATTTTATAATTAAGGATGAAAATATATTTTAAGACTATCACAAAGATTTTCAGCATTAAAACCATATTTCTCGACACTATTTTAAGGTAAGCTCTAATTTGATTGTTTAGAGCTTATGTTCTATACAAACCGCACCCTTTTGCTAATTATTCTCTCTCTTAATTATTATTTTTATGTATTTTGTAGCAACATTTTTTTACCAATAGGAGGGGTGTGACGTCATCTACATGAAGTATAACTTCACCCACATACACCATTAAATGTCACTAGTGTACTCCATGTGGGTGATATTACATCCCATATAGATGACATCATATCCTTCCTAATAATAAAAAATACCTTTATTAAAAAATACTCGATATGTACAAAACAAATGTATAGAAATGTCTAAAATTTGTTGAATAGAATAATAAATTACTCCAAAACACCTTAACATAACCCTTACTTATATTCATCCAATGCGAAATTTGCCGTTTGAGCTTCATCATTGAAATAAATACAGTATACTAATTTCACATCTGAAAGTTAAAATTAATTATGACCACCTTATACTATTTTTCAGCTTTTTTAAGTAAATTCTCTCTAATTCCCTCCTGAAGTGTAGTCCACTTCCCGTCGTTTTGTTTTGCTTTCTTTATCTTTGACGTTTCTCCTTTTGTCCCCTGTCTCTCTTGTGAGTCTCTAGTCAAACTCCAAATTCTGAAGTCCTAACTGAAATGAGCCGGCTTTAGCCGGTTAAGCCGGCGTACAACGCCGGCTAAGACCCTCGAAAACGACCGTTTTATTAATTAACCCCGGGGTAACCTCGATTCTATAAGTCGCACGTGAAGGACCTTTCTCAGTTTTCGCAGGTGTAAGGCCGGAGGAGCGAGCGCCCAACATTCTAGAGAGAGAGAGCGCCAAGATTTTAGAGAGAGAAGGGGCCATGTTCATCGCGCCACCCTGAGGCTGCCATTGAATAACTGTTGCGGAATATCAGAGAAGCCGTGGGAGTTGCGAGTTACCTCAGAGCATTAAAAACACCGGAATATTTGCCTCCCTTCTCTCTCTCTACCATTTTCCCCCTCATCGCCTTCCCCCTCATTGAAGCACTCTCTTTCTCTAAACCCCCTTTTTTTTATCTTTCTACGTTCTCTTTTTTGCCGCTCTGTTTCTCTCTCTACCCCTCTTCTATTTTTACCGATTTCTTTCTCCCTCTGCGCCTCTCTCTCACTAACCCTCTGTGTCATTGTCACATACACTTTCTGTCTTTGGGTTCGTCGTCATCCCTACGCGCTGCAAACGCGCTGCAAACGCGCTACTTCTCTCTCTTGCTGTCCTGGTTTTGAAGCCCTCTCCTACTCTGTATATCAGTGGGGAATCCGTGTGTAAGGGAACCGAAAGTAGGGTAAACCGATATAAAGCCCCCGATTGTAAAGAATATTGCCTTTTTAGGCACGGAAAAGACATTTAGGGGAGAGATTTTTAGAGAGAGAAAGGAAATTTCGCATTTCTTGATAGAGGAAGTCGCTGAGAAAGGGTTGGCCGGTATCTGGTAACTGATTGGTGGAGAGCGGTTTCTTTGATATTAAATCTCGCGGTTGCACAGTTTAACTCTCTTAATGCTCTGAGAAAGCCTCTTAGAATTAACTTTTTTACAGACGCCATTCTCTGTGATGGGATAACGATTTACGGGTAACAGGACGGTTTCTTTGCGTGGATTGGTTATCAAAGGTATTCTGCAAGAGAAAAAAGGTCAAACGAGTGATTCTTACCGTGATTTTGCCAGGAAGCAGGGTCAAAAGATTGATTTTCACCTTGATTTTGAGAGGATACGGCTTGTGAAAGTGATATTCGCATCGATTTTGGTGTAATCGTTGGATTTTTGAAGGATTTTTATTCAGATTGGGATTTATATCCGATATTTGGATGGAAGTATATGAAAGTGATCCAATGAGCAGCTTCTTCAAATATTTCATGTAAATCCATCGCGAAGTTTTCTTTCCTTTCTTTTTGGGAAATTAGGTTACGGAGTAGTTGCTGAATCAATATTGTTTCAGGTGACATTAAACAAAAGGTGATCAAGCTTAGTTTGAGAGAAACAGGGAATCAAAAGACGTGTTTCTGAAGAGCCACTCTGAGAACACGGTTTATTTCCAAGGGAAAAGCAGTTTCTGGTAATGTTTTTGATGAATTTGGCTCGAGATTTGGGGAAAAGGATGTTTCCTTTACCATCGGGCTTTTGAAGTACTATGGCAGTGATATGCATACATAGACATGACGCTTTACATTGCTTGCGAAGCTTCAAAGGTTTTGCTTTAAGCTATGATTTTGCACATTCACTTCTCCCTCTCCCCCCCCTTTTTATCTGAATTTTTGGGCGTCTCGACTTCTTTTTCTTCGTGTATTGAGACAGTGAGTATTTGGTAGCAGCTATGGAGGAGGATCTTAATGGAGACTTTTGTGGAACTGAATCTCCTGGCCGAGAAGTGGAAGTACATTCTCCTAGGGCTTATTTTCCAGGTTTCCTTTAGCTCACTCTTTTTTGTTTTCCTTGGCTTTCTTTCTCTTCCTTTTATTTTCTGAAGGATAAGAGTACAACTAGAAGGAATGCAAGGTATCGTGCCATAGATTAAAGCAGAGATTAAATGATATGAAAGGTCAGAAAGGCATTTGTCAAATTCCTCTGGGTAATACTGTCATGTCAATCCTAATCCCTGATTTTGCTTTGCACATACTCCTTAGGTGGACTTTAATATTTGATGGATTCAGTGTTTATTCATGATACCATGTTTTGACACATAGATTCATTAGTTTATATTGGTAATGAAAAATTGATCACTGGAGTATTATGTTCACCTGATCGCACATCCAACCCCTATGTGTGAGAGAGAGATTCTGATGCTATTTCGTGTGAAATCCTACCACAGGAGAAACGATCCGTATTCTGATGGGCGGTATGCTTCAACTGCAGGAGGGATAAATAAAATTTCGTTTAGTCCACATTTTACATGTTCTGGTTTCCACTGATCTTAACCACCTAATGAAACTCCATCTACTTGATTGCATGCTTTCCTGTTTGCTTACAACGATGGTTACATATCAAGTAATGTGGATTTCCTCTGCTGCAATCCTATAAATCACTGTTAGTGTTATATATTGATGATGTGAATGTTTCTTGTTATTGGAAGTTTTTTGGGTACTCTATATAATATCAAAACTGTTATTTCATTGTTGTTTTTTTTGTTTCTTACTGATAACTTGAATTTGATTTCTCAGAATGGTACATCGTCTTGAATTGTGTTTTTTCAATGCTCTCTATTCCTTTGCATCTTAAATGTAGTAAACTGATGCTTCTTTGATGAGATGTAGAGAATGACCATCATATTGGATTTTCTATTACTGCAGTATCTTCATGGATTGGCTGCAAGAGGAGTTCATTATTTGCATCAACCTGGACCCACTCTTCAAGATGTTGGGTTTATTTTCCTGCCAGTGAGTTCTAATTCTCTGGGCTTTGTTTTACTTATGTCTCTCTCCCTCTCTCTGGTTTTTTTTTGTTTATGTTTTCCCAATCATTTCATTCTTTCATTTGTTATTTATTTTATGGTTATGGTTAAAAAAATGGTTATGGTAGTGCTCTTGTGCATGTTTTTTATAATGAGGCATACTGTGCTTTTATTTCTCAGGAACTTGGGCAGAACAAAGCGTACATCAGTGAAACTCTGTTTACTTTCATCTTTTTGTCCTTCTTCTTGGTAAGTACACATCTTCTCTCCTTAAATTTCAGGAAATTTTGTTTCTATTTTGTTTTTGAAGATTGATTTTATTAAGTTAATTATCTTTTCTTTTTTGAGTGAAGTTGACATGTGCATATATCATAAAAGTATGTTATATTATTACGAAAACTTCCACCTTCAAGATAGGAGCTCTACAAATAGGTAACGCACAGGTTGGCTCTTCTACATGCTGTTAAAATTGACTAAATAGAAAATTGGGGATTAGAGTGTCCCATATCATTAAAGTTTGTTGACTAAATTATCGAAAATGGATTGACATCTTGAGCAGTATTGATTCCTTGTTTTGATGATTAAAATTCATGAAGAGGTTCTGTGGGTGTCATGAATCAGCATCGCCTGATTTCATTTTTTTTCCTTTGCATTTCACATAAATTGATGTGTGGTTGTTTTATGATGATAGTTGTGAATTTATCCCCAATTTGTTTTCTGGGTACAAATAATCCACACCAAGACCCTGTGAAAACTTGTTATAAGTAATAATTGATCAAGTCTTTACAATGTGATTGTGGGAAGGTCTTGTGACTATAGCTGCTGCGACTGTGACCTAGTTAAGAGAGGAGAAGTAGATGTCAATGATTTTTTTTGGGATGGGGGGGTTTTGGTGGAGGGGATGAGGAATCGACATTTAGAACTATGAAGAGGATATATAGTGGTAATTCTAGTCTATCAATAATCATCAGTGGCAAAATGAAACTTATTCTTGGCAATGTTTTCACGAGTTCTGTTAGCTTTAATCCATGGTGTGTTATATTTTATGTTACTCTTGATTTGAAATTTTTTGCATTCTTTTGCCCATAAGAGCATGGAAAGATAGAGCTTGGATATGGATACAAGGACGTCCAAGCGGGGCCCTTAAAACCAGATGCTTGGGTCTGTGAAGATATTATCAGGGTAATGGCTGATCATTAATCCTTATGACGGTAGATGGTAATAGCTTCATTGTTCTTAGTATCAATTGTGTTGATTTTGGAGGAGTTGAAGTAAACAATTCTATTAATGATGTCTTAGCTGAGGGAATGTGTGGAATGAAAATTTCTAAAGAATGCCTAAGCATATAGGTGTTGGACCAGTTTGGAGATGCATGGCAAGGGAAGTAAGGTAGCCTAATAGATTTAGTTGTCAGAAGTACTTAATAATGAATTAAGAGTATGCACCTTCCATTTTGTGGCTTTGGAGTTGAAGAAGTTTTTGTATTAGTTGCTGGATGTATTCAGCGCTATAATTAAGTGGAGCTTCCATCTTGAAATTTGTGGCGCTGTCTAGTTTACTCAGAAGGAGCGCCCAAAAGTGTTTGATTTTATGTGATGTGGTCATGTATATCCTGATCTGCAGAGCTCTTTCATTGGGTGTTGCACTTGCACATTTGCAAGAATGAAAGTTGAACATGGATTTTTTTTTCCTCATAACTCACTGGTTGACCTAGAGGTGCTAGTTCTAATGTGTGTTTAGTGAAGCAGCTCAAGAGGACGATCAGGAGCAGCTGCTTGCCATGGAGTTTAAATCTTGACGTCAGTCATGCTGCACTCACTGTTTTGTGGGCTTTCAGTGATAGCATTAGCTGGTCTTGATCGTCATCACCATAACCTTTTCCCAATCAATTGGGGTCATTAGCTGGTTGATGAATGATTGAATCATTTAAATCAAAGTGGGACTCACCGGCCTTCTACCTATAATGTTGTGAAAATTGGATAAAATCTTTCTGGATACCTTTGGGCAGGTGGGATTTATTTGAAGTTGGCTTGCTTACATCTGCTCTCATTTGTTTCTTGATACTTGATGGTTATTTTTCAGAACCAGTTGCGAGTCATTGAACAGTGTGGATGGCATAATGGGAACTGGTTGAAACTCCAGTATTTTTACTCGATAGGTGCTCTTCCTTCGTATGAGTTAGCAGCATTCTCCCATTTTACTGAAGACTGCATGGTGTTGAATGGATTGGAAAATGCACACCGTAAATCGCATTATATTATCCTTGATTGTTGATAATTTTAGACCTTGTAGTTGACCACTTTAATTGATGTTCATGGAGCCCTTACTGCTGTTTCAAGTATTAGAATTCAAAATACCTTGGATTATGTTTTAAGATGGGTATCTAGGTGGATGGAGAGGTTGGGTAGCTGTGAAGAGATGTATCAAGCTTTATTGATTCTTAATAATGTATAGTCTGTATTTTTGTTTTTATTTTTGTCGTATGAATGATTCTGATATAGATGTTAACTGTTACAGGTGAAGTTCTAGATTCATTTAATGGTTTTAACTTTTGCGCAACTGGAAAAAGTGTCATTCTCAGTGAACTGCTGCTCGAGTTTGCACGATCATTTGTTAGTTTATTACTTTAATTTATATTACTGATTTTTTTGTAAATTCTTATTGTGATTATAAACAAATTCTTTTTATGAACAACGGTAAGCAAATTCTTAGCGTAGTAATGTAAATTTCAGTCTAGCCCATTCACCTAATTATTATTGTGGAAACATTGAATTTGAAACCTAATAAGATGTAATTTTCAAAAAAGCAGATTAAGATACAATTGGTTGTAAAACTCAAAAGGAAAAAAGAAGAAGATTGAAAGTGGTTGTATGTATGATTTTAAGTTGATTTTCTTCTCTTTTCTTTACTGTATGTTTTATTACCTTTGGTTGGGTGCTGGTTATTTATTTTTTGGTCCAAATGGTAGGAATCTTGGTATTCTGTTGGCCTTTTCACATCTACTACCATGTTGAACTGTTAGAACTACTGACGTGGAACTAATATCAATCATGTGTGCTATCTCTTGTAGCTGCTATGAACTTTGTGAGGATTAGATAATCTCACTATCTCGCCTTTTCTTTTATTTTCATTTCTCATCTTTGGCATAATCTGTGTTTACCTGTCACCATTTCTCTAATGTGTTTCTTTCTGTTGCAGTGGAGTTTTTATCCTTTTGTGTTCCACAGCAAGAGATTCTACACAGTTCTTTTATGGTGCAGGGTTTTGGCATTTCTAGTTGTAAGTTCCGTTGTACCCATTTCAGTGATTTTGATTGTACTTTTCTAGCATCATAATTGCTTTTTTAGTTCTTAAGATTTTCTTTGGTTTCTGGAATAGAAAGATGGGTTCCTTTTGGCCCTGTCACTGCCAGAACTTTGCGACGATGTGCACATTTTTAAATACCTACTGCTTTAACGTGCCAGTGGCATATCATGTAGGCAACCAATACGAGTATTGGGTGCTGCTAGGATACCTGTAAATATAAAATGACATACTTATTTTTAATGAATATAAAGTGAATACTTGTAAATATAAAATGACATACTTATTTTTAATGAATAAAAAATGAATACTTGTAAATATAAAATGACATACTTAAGTTTAATGAATAAAAAGTATTATGCATATTGTTGCGGTAGACATATGTAGTGATGCGTTGGATGCTTATATGCATATATTTATGTCACTTTAAATATAATATGGATTTATCCATGTATTAGATAGGATGCTCATATTGATATCTGTGACCTGGATTTTGTAGAAAAGCCTAGTCGTATCGTCATTCTGTGCGCATGTGTTTGTATTTCTACGAGTACCTGAGCACCTTAAGCTTAGTGTTTACTTGATGGAAGCACTCCTGCGAAGAACTTAAAGGCTTTGAGCAGTTTTTTAACATATCAAATAGTCACCCTTTTTTGTTTTATTGACTAGACAGTGAGTGGACTAAAGCTGGGGGCTAGGCTTATAAGGTGGTGTGTATTCATAGATATTTCTTGTTGTGCATAGAATCGTGTAGGGTATCCCATTCTTCTTAAGGTTATTTTGTTATGAAGACTATCGGAAATCTCTTTAATTTGCTCCAGAATACGAGGAATTTAATTTTGGTAGGTGAACATGATTGTGCTTTTAACAAAAAATAAATGGCTATGATAAACAGGAGTACCAGAACTTCTTTCTAGGTTAGCACCTCAGTCAGGAATCCACAGTTATAGGAACCCCGAAAGGACCACGAAAGGATACTAGTACATAACTGCTAATCCACTAACAAAGATATGCGTGCACCTTTGCCTCTGTTGAATTTACTGCTTAAACAACTTAACCTTACATAGGCTGCCCTTGGATTTCTTGTGAGTACCATCAAAGATTACCGTCCTGACAGTGTCACCTGATTCATTAACCACAAGTACCTTAAAAGATTCCCTGTAGTCAGCCCTGTTAGCCCCTTCATTGATATGCACCCAAGAGATGAAAGTCATCTTGCCCCTCCCGTTCCCTGCTAAAACTCTCTCTCTCCCCCCCCTTCAGTCCCCGGCCCCTCAAGGCGGGCTGCTGGTTGGCCCATCTGCAATGGGCTGGTGCTTCCAAAACGGGCAACACCACTCTAATTGTGATCCTAAAGATGACTTGGGAAGGAAACCAGGATGTCTGTAATAGGAAGTCTAACATTAAATCAGCGTGGTTTAGTGGGTGCTTAATTGTATCTTATTTCTCTTTGCCCATCATTTAAACGAGGGAACTGGAATACCCTACTCTTTTAATGTTTTACCCACGAGTGTCGTGCCCTTAAAAGATATTTATTTTGACCCATTCTTTTTCTTGTGCGGTGCATGTTTTGTACTGCTTTGACAATTAGAATTGGATGATCTTTATGATATATGCCATTGATTTAAGTTTATTGATAGATTTATTGGTTTTGATAAATTTTCTTTCTTATGGCAGGTATGTCAAATTCTCAGAATTATTACATTTATGGCAACTCAGCTTCCAGGACCCAACTATCACTGTCGTGAGGCATGTATATATGTGGATGCTATGTTAATTCTTTTTATTTTGTAGTTCTCATCCTCTATGATTTTCTGTTATGGAGATCAGTCTTTATTCCTTTTTACTTCTCATTATTGTTTCTGGAGAAATGAATCCCATCTTTTTTAAATCCCATTCTGTGCACCCTTTAGTTTGATTATTCTTAATTCCGATAATTTTTGCGTTGTTTTTTTATTTATATGTAGGGATCCAAACTTGCCAGATTACCTCGACCTGATAGTGTGATGGAAGTTCTATTAATTAATTGTAAGCTCACAACATTATTTCGCTTTTAGCAAATTTTACTTTATATTATGTGCACCTGTTAGATGTGATAATCGGCTTTCTGCCTTTTGGGTGCAGTTCCTCGGGGTGTGATCTATGGCTGTGGTGATCTAATATTCTCATCACATATGATCTTCACTCTTGTTTTTGTGCTCACTTATCAAAAGTATGGGACTAAAAGGTGAACTCTAGGTCTTTTTACAAAATATTGCCACATCTGCATATCGATTTTTATCTCTATCTATGTACATGTGTTGTGTAGAGTTTTCTTGTCTTCCCATTATGCTCAATTCACTATGGCTGAAGCTTTCCAAAATTTTGGGCCTGTGCTGCAGGATTATTAAGCAACTTGCTTGGTTGGTAGCTGTAATCCAGAGTCTCCTGATTATCGCTTCACGCAAGCATTACACGGTCGACATTGTGGTTGCATGGTAAATAAAAGAGAGAACTAGAGAAAAGAGAAGTAAAATTTACTTGGTTAAACATGTCATCCAATGGAGTATGGTGTATGGTGAACCAAAGTAAGCAGCCACTGTTGATTACCAGCAACAGGTTATGGATATTAACTTTGCCTGAGTGAATCTCCCTATGGGCCCCACTGCAGCTAATCTCCACTGTTTATCATCAGATTCAGAAACAGGCAGTGGACATCCAGTTGGATCACCATTTATGCTAGTCTCTATTGGATTATGGTACATAGGTGTTCTCTAAGGGATTATGGTATACTTCTCAAGTTGTGTTCTGGCTTGGGGACCCGAACCGGCTGCATCGCTGGGTTCGAGTCGGCCGAGCTGACTCAGCGAGGAGACCTGAGCTACTCAACCGATATTTAAAAAAAAAGAAAAGAAGAAGAAATAATGGCTAAAAATTAGAGAAAAATATATTAGATCAGGTATTCAAAATCAAAAAAGTAATTCATGGTATAGGAATCATAAATCAAAATCAAAATGAAAAAATAAAATTAAAAAATGCATTTTGGGCAACCCAGGCAATTCTTAGTTGTCTTGCTGGTTTATGACTTGGGCAAGTCGCCCGATACCCCGCTGCGTTTGAGTCCAATCGGGCGTTTCGGAGTTGACCCGCCTGTTTTGTAAACACTCCCCAAGTTATTTTACTTTTGCTGCAAGTTGCATGTGATTTTGACTGTTTGGCATTTAACTCTTTTTTGGACCATAGGTACACGGTGAATTTGGTGGTCTACTTTGTGGATAGGCAACTGCCCGAAGGTCTGTGCATAACTGACAATTGTATGTTTCATCTATATTTTTACTTAATAAACTCTAATCTACTTTTGAGTTGCTAATAAACTAATTCTGATGATAAAAATGAGATTTTGCTCAGGATTTGCACATACTATTGTAACTATACATTTTAAATTTGTATTTTCACCCCTGTATTTAAATTTCTCAAATACCCTTTTTTTATCTTGGAATTAATATGCTTTGATGATCCCATTTTGTTCTGGAAATAAGAGTGATACAGACCATTCTTACCCATGATTTACCTGCAAAAACTTTTCTTTTCAATATGAGATATACAGTTTCCTTCCCACCTATCCCACATTTTGCGAATGTTGTAGATACCCCTTTTTCATATCAGCATAATCATAAACTTCAACCCGACAAGTTATCAAAAAAATTGACAAAACAGGAAAAAGAAATATAAAAGCTTTAACATGCCATGATAGTAGTTAATATTCAAATGTCGTCTTTAGCATCTCATTTTTGTCGTTTTTATCATCTCCTTTCCTCTTAATTTCTGACATAATGTGCAATTTGGCTACTATTGTTCGGTTAAAGTTGTTATGGCTAGTAACTGTTACCTGTTCGTTCCAAAATTGCAGAATTGACAGATAGAATGGGTGGGAATTCTTCATCGTTGCTGCCCATTAATGGCAAGGATAAAGATAGCAAATCAAAGGAAGAGCTCCACATGCTCTTGAATGGCAATACTGGGGATTCCATAGATTGGGTATGATACGCTGGAATCTTGTATTTTTTCGAATAATTTCTATATTCAGTTGAGAGCTTCAAAGTATATTGTATCTACTCATCTCTATCGTTTGATGAAAATCTTACCAATATATAGAAGATAAATTTCAAACAGACAAAATGTCTTCTTTGGTAAATTGAGATTGGCCGGGTATTGTGATTTTTGTCTTTACTTTTATGGAAGGTTTTTATGAAACTTATCAAACCAAAATCCTGTAAGGTTCAAACATATTATTGAGAATGTAGTTAGTGAACAATTGACCTATCAAAGCATAAGTTAAGAAAATATAAGATCTCTTTAAGGCTATAACAATGTGTTTTTTTTTTCAGAGACAGCGGCCACAGATCAATGGAAAGTACATGGAAGATGGAACACCTGTTCATACTGAGATGGCGATGAATGGTGGCGTATAGCCTGTGGATATATCTTGCACTGAAGGCTCAGCATGGTTTCATCATTCTTGGTTTGAAAGCAAAAAAGATGAGTGCTTTGTTCCCCCCAAGTTGTATTTTATTGAAAATAGAATTTTGATATGGGTTTTTTTATTTCTTTAATTTTCTTGCTCATTGTAGGCTTCTCAAGGCAGTTAATTTGTGGCTTCAATATTAGCTGTTTTCTTTTCGCTTGTTTATAGAATTCATTAATGCATTCCCCTGTGCAAGCAGTGAATGTTCCCTGGTTTCCATTGCTTGGACCTCTGCTTATTTGGTTCTTGTGTTGGTGAAATGGATGTTCTGATTAGGGTGGAATAGCATACACACACCCTTTTTCTTCTTCTTCTTTTTTGGGTATTTAAGGGGAGGTATTTCAGTGGAGAAGGAGGCGTCTGCCCATGACAGTAGCATACACCCTTTTTTTTTTTTTGGTAGAGGTATTTCAATGGAGAAAGGGGCATCTGCCCATGATAGGAATGAAACTCGAGACGTCATGTTGTGATGCTTCGCTACTCTAACCACTCCTTCCTTGAGCCTATTCTTGAATGGCATGTTTCCTTGGTATATGATATGGTACATGGAATACCATTCGTCGCCTGTTTTTTGAACAGTGGAGATTGACTCTGAATATTTATCATTACGGGCTAGGAATAATCTCCGGTCTTATGGAATTGACTGGTCGAGCCCAAGGTCTATGCACACTCCCCCCCGTAATTTTAATGAGGTAAGATGCTGTTGCGTGTCTGGGTACAGGGTAATCCACTATCCATTTCTTGATGACAGATGGTGGAGATTTAACTGTTCCTTACTAAAACTTCACGGTTGCGTGGTTTAGTTGTGTATATACATATCAGGAGCTGGTGGTCATGGTTTCGTAGTCCTAAGAAGCTGCCCAATTGAACTGTTTTTCTCTAGGGCCGTAAATGGGTCAGGTTGGGTTTGGGTTTGGGTTTGGGTTTGGGTTTGGGTTTGGGCTTGGGCTTGGGTTTGAGTTTGGGTTTGGGCTTTGGGCTCTAAGTTAGACCTAGACCTGCCGTTGTGGCCAGACCCAGATCTGTCGTGGTGGGTCCAAATAACCCCAAGCTAGACTCAGGTCCTAATGGCTCTAAAATTAATTTTTAAAACCTACAATAAAATTTGAAACAGAAAAAAATGATACGAATCTTGCTGATTTTTGAACATTTATTTGTAGGGTGAAATGGATGGTCTAAATGATTTGTTGCACCATATACTGTTTTTAGAATCTGAACTTACTAATAGTTTTGCACAACCATAATGTTCAAACTGAGTTGATTGATTTAAAGGCTTTTCAACACTTGAATTACAATTTTTTAAGAGTTATTAGGGGGAGGATTTGCTTATTTTGATAGGGCTGCAGCTCTATCAAACCTAAAAGTAATATTTTTATATAATTAACATTTATATGTATAGAAATAATATTTTTATATAATTAACATTTATATATATTTATCTGTATTGTATACTAATATATACTTGGTTGGGTTGGGTGGACCCTGTCTTGGTGGGATTCAAGCTGTACCCAAACCAGACCTATCGTCGGGTCCATTATTTAGGTTTGGACCCAGTTAGGTTGATCCAAAATTTCTAATTAGACATCCTTTAGAACTTTATTTTTTTAGCTAATTACAGGCAATTTGAAAATTATATAGTTCTTTCTTACTATTTTTTTTTTTTTTTTGGACAGTCATTTTTATTTAGTACAAAAAATGAGATCCAGCAGAATTATAGCTCCAAAAATGAAAAACACAAGAAACAAACTACCAACCAGTAAACGCCTACTGCTCAAATTTTCTCAATAACTAAGCTACTACCGTGCGCACCTAGTTTTGCAAGTCCATCAGAGGAGAGAATACAGGGGTGGACAAAGGTCGCAAGGGTCAGGTGTTTGAGTGCTTTGCCCGTTGTCAGAGTACGGTCCCCCAAAGATAGAATTCTGCTAAAAACAAGAAAAGAAAAATTCAAGTGAGAACACAAGCTATTTTGTTTGGCATAATTGGGGTAAAAAGGCGTGATAAAGTACATGGTTGGGTCAATGTCAAGTTTCCTTTCCAATGGAGTTGCAGTTTTTTATTCTCTTACACAGCTGTTTTGGAGGTTTGGACTGGAGTGATATTAGCCCCTACGTGCCTTCATATTGGGCCTCCCTGCTTGATAGGTCCTTCTAAAGTTATTCCTTAGAGCCTGTATGGTCAGGAAGAAGAGGGTGAGTTAGGCTTCATGTACCTTCCATTTCCCACTCGTAAATATATCATAGTGAGATAGATGTGTTTAATATATGATAGGGAGAGAAGTGTTGGAGTTTTAGTGAGGGCGCATGTACTATGTTCCCTGGGGAGCATAGTTTACTTCGACTCCCTTCGTCAGAACACTTATTTGGGAGGATTTGTTTAATCTGAAATTTTGCGCACAGCTTAAGAATTACTAGATAATAATTTTCGAAAAAAAAAAAAGAAGATATTAGAGGTTCATAACACTTAGATCTTGCCATCGAAAAATTGGAGTCTATTTAATTTTGAGGCTCCTTTTTTTTTTTTAAGTGTATAGAGGGTACAACTAGAGAAATCTTTTTATGGAAGTTAATGTATGGGTTGAAGAGGTTACATCCATAAATTTTGAGGTCTTATAATTAATTCTAAATAGGGTTTTCCCCTAGGGGTAAATGGACATTCTGCTAAACATCTTATAGCTTTAGAGGGATATTAGGGCCTTCTTATGTTTATGTTCTTTGAGAGAGAGGGAGGACCTATTTTGTCAAGAGAGGGGAGCTAAGTGAGCTTTTTACCATTGAACGCAGGCTAAAAATAGTGAGGGTTTTGCTGTTTATTTTCTGTAATAATAATAAAGCTGGACTCCCTGGTTTGAAGGTGTTGCTCTGGGTTAAATAAAAGGTCTATACCAATATCGTTAGATGCGCTTTGCTATGTGGAAGAAGCCCAGCTCTGTGCCATCTGCTACCAAACCGCTTGGTCTCACTTCATCTGAATTCACCCATCTCCACAAAATTTTAAAATCAACAGTATTAAAGTTACATAAATAAATTTTTACTTTTAAAAAAACTTATTTTTATTCCAAGTCACCACATAACATCGATGAGATTATACATTCCTCAAAATTTTGAATTCAAAATCTATCTCTAAAATAGATTTAGAAAGTTGACCGATTAGGATGGGTGAGTCGGCTAACTCAGAGAAACCTTTTCCACATAAACAATGTTTTGAAGGACATGGTTATGAGTTCATGTAGAAATGAATCGACTATTAAAAATCTATTTTTGAGATGGATTTTTGGACCCAATTTTTAAAGAAAGCCGGTCTTTACGCCAATAGACCCTCATATAAAATGAAAGAAAATGTACATTTCAAATAGAATGGGTAAGAGTTATTCGTAGTTTAATGCATGCAACGTGTGGCATGAGACCTAATGTTGCATATGCCATGGGCATTATTTAGTAGATATACGAGTTGCAATAGTAAAGAGCATTAAGAAGCAATCTCTCGAGTGTTAAGTTATTTGAAATAAATTATCAATTATAACATGTATTATGTAGGTTATCCCGAGGTATTGGAAGATACAGTGATGCAAATTGAAACATAAAAGTCCAAGAATCACTATCAACATGTAGATGGGTATTTGTTTTAGTTAGGGAAGTGGTATTATGGGGGCCAACTAGGCAAACTTGTATTTTGCATTCTACAATAGAGTAAGAACTTATTGCTTTAGATTTTGCTTGTGAAGAAGCATAATGATTTAAGGATATTTTATATGACCTAAAAATATGGCCAAAACCGATACTGGCAATTACAATTTATTGTAACAATAATGTTCCTATTGCTCGAGAATGTAATGATATATGTAATAGTAAATTCAGGCATATTGCGCGTAGACTCTTTTAAAAATTTTAATAAGAGATTAAATGGTAAGCCTAGAATATGTGGAGTCAAAGGAAAATATGGGATCCTTTGACAAAAGGCATTGCAAGGGATGACATTGGTAACATGCTAAGGAGAATGGTATTAGAGTTAATAAATAAGTCATTTATAGCAGCTGCCCAACTTAGTCTTTTGTAACCTCAACATTCTAAGTTCAATGTGGTATAATAGGTTGCACGTGTGAGTGATTTAGTTACTAGACAAAAACTTATTCTAAGCATCCATTCTAAGAAAATCCATACAATGGATAAGTTTATTAATGACTTGTATATAAGTATGTTGAGTTAAGCTCTTAATGATGTCTATGACTATTCGGAGTACTAGACACACCCATATAAACATGAAAGTAGGGTTCCTTCCAATAAGATGGGACTTGTCTTTGGAACACTTGTGTGGTTGGGACATAAGCATAAGGCTCAAAATATGCTGAAAGCTAAAGACACCGAAGATGTATATTATTTATGAGTTATACTACTAGTTTGTTTGGTATACCCATAGAATGAGTATAGCGATGAGTGACAAGACAAGAAGGTAAAGAATTTAGACATGGCACGACTAGGCGATAAAACGAAAGAGAGTAGACTTAGGTGGGCTGGCCAAATGTGGCGCTGATCAAGTACAACACCTGTTAGGAAGTGTGAATTAGTTCAAGTGGAAGGACTGAAAATGGCAAAAGGTAGGCTAAAAAAGACGTAGTTGGAAGTAGTCCAAAAAGATATAGGACTTATGATCTCATAAGGATATGACCTTTAATAGAGCAGAATGGAGAACCAGGATTCATATAGCCGACCCTAATTAATTGGAAAAAAGTTAAAATGATGATGATGACCAATAGTTTGTTGGATAAGGAACATGGTTCAAAGCTATATGTTATCATAGTACTTGATGGAATTTATAATATAATTTAAGTAAAGGTTTCAATTGAAAGATACATTCATTGTATACAAATAATATACAATTGCCTACGTTTTTTATTTTATTTTGAAATATTGAAGTGTTAGTATTTTTTGTTTTGAAAAATACTAGATAGTATTTCAAAATAATATGCTTTCACATGATTCTTTCCGAAATTTTTAATATATGAAGGGACAAATTATTGGGTTTTAGCCCCACATTGAAGAATTAAATGAGACAAAAGTGGAAAAAAAATGAGAGAGTAAGGTTATATGTGCAGAGCACACGAAACATGCGATGCCCAAGTACATGGGCTTGAGGATGCTTGAGGAGTACTGTGCACTTTATAGAGGTGCGGCTCACCCCGACCGCATATTGAATGACCACATGGATACATCCAAACGGCTATAAAACTAGCCATTTGTCATGTCGCAGCAGTTGGAGCAGTCACAACAATTGAATGCCAAATCCAACGCTTGACGACTATTGATGATATGA